CCCCGCTGACCCAGCGGCAGCGCCTGCCCCTCGCCCGCCGAGGGAGGAAGGCAGGCGGCTGCGGGGAGAGCAAGGCCGGGCTGCCGAGGGGGCGAGGAGCCCGGGCGAAGGCCCCTGCCGCCGCTCCGTCTCTTGCGATAAACCCCCAAATCCTGGCGGGTACGTACACGCAGGCGCAAGCATGCTAACCCAGAAATTGTATTCCGTGTGTACGTACATATACTCGTCCGCGGACACGCTCCTCCGTGGGCGTATGTGTATGGGCGGCTGGGGGTACGCACGTACCTAAAGGCACACAGACGCCTGGGTATAACGTGCGTATACCTTTAGCTGCGTTTTGTACGCATCAATGCAAGCGTGCACGTATACGTATGCACACGCGTATATATGCACAGAAGTATGCACCCACTTCTGGTATATGTCTGCACACGTAGGAATACACGTGAACTTATTTATACACACACACACGTATGTATTTACACACGTATGTATACACAAACGTATTTACACACATATACACTTACAAATGCATATGCAAGTGTATTGCTGTGTGTAAGATAAGAGGGGTAAGAATCCTGGTGCGTGTGTATAGATAAAGGGAGGTAGGAAAGAAATATTTTCACTTCACGTTATTCTGAACTTGGTAAACCAAATGGATCGGGGCGGCTACTCCACTATCGGGACACTGTCTCCCCGCAAGTCTCCGTGGAGTCTCCGATCTTGTGGTTTCCATTTGCAGTTTTAAAGGGGAGAAAAAATACATCCTACTCTTAACAGGGGAAGAAAATAACAGGGGAAAAAAGCGAGAAAAACAAGGCAGCTGTTGTTTCTGGAGTCGTTTTCTGTTTCTAGATGTACTTTTGAGAGAAATTTAAAATACTAATAAACCTATCACTGTAAAAAGAAACTCTTTGGATTGCAAATCACGCCTCTTTTCCTTATCGAGCAACCGTGAGAACTCCACAGGCTCGTACAGGATCACAGAGATGCACCGAAGGGCAATAGTTTTTCTATCAGGGTAAAAATAACCCCAGATGGCAGCCCGTAAACTTTTTTCAGCTGTTCATTTCTGCCCCTGAACCCGGGCTTTTCCTCCGGCGCCCTTTCCAGCCGAGTCCCCGTAAGGCCAGGCCGCCGCCTGCCCCTGCCGCGCCGCGGGAGCGGCGGGGCCGGCTCCGCGGGAAGGG